AAGGTCCCATTTCCTTCCCAGCTATTATCTCTCAGTTGCTTTCTGGGGCATTAGACACCATTGGGAGATGCTATTATGGTTTAGTTCATTGGGACTTTAGAAGCAGCATTTTCATATCTCCCCCTCAGTGCAAGATGCTGAAAAGACAACACTGATAATATTGATGAGGGCAGAGAGGTATGTTAGCATTGATTTGCTAAGTGCACCGCTCAGTCTGCAAGGTATTTCTTGCCATCCTGTAACAACCAAGGGAATGGGGAGCTAGATTGTGCTCTTGCTCTGTTGGTGTTTAACACACATGAACTCCTAATTTGGTGGTTTCCAAAGGAATATTTGTGACCTTGAGCAGGTATATGGCAGCTAAGAGGAGGAAAAATGCAGAGCTAGCATTCTTTGGGCAGGATCGTTCCTCTTCTGCATCCTGCACCAAAATGAATGAGTCGTGTTTTTTTTTTGTTTGTTTTGTCTTGTTTTGTTTTTCCACAGGCTAAATGACTCCTTATTCCTGTAGAAGCAGGAGCACTCAGGTCTGCCAAGTCCCACAGGCTCCAGTAGGGAACAAATTGCTGGAAGAGGAGCTTGACAGCCTGAAGCAGTTACAATTTGGCCGATGATGATGTCAGCTAAGTAGAAATGGGGCTAGCAGGCTTCTCTAGGGGTGATCTTCTGGAAGCTCCAACCCTTTTACTGCCTGAGCTTCCTGCTTAGGACCTTCAAAAAGTGCAAAGAACCATAAAGAGAATCAAGGAGTTATTGCTTATAGATCACAGTTCCCTCTTTACCTGTACTAGATGGGGAGAAAGGACTCCAAGAAGTACATGCTAAGAACCATGGAGATGTGGCACTGAGGGATGTAGTCAGTGGACATGGTGGAGGTGGATTGGGGTTGGACTTGGTGTTCTTAGTGGTCTTTTCCAACCTTTATGATTCTATAATTGTAAGAGGGGCCCTTTGCTGGACCTTGGCCATCTGTGGGCTCCCTGGGGATCTGCTGCTGTTTCCAAAATGAAATGTATTGAGGAAATAATATCACAAAATCAGTGTATTCCCATCGTGTCTAGGACCAGACCACTGAGAATGAAGGTCAGCCATGTTTATCCATGCCTAACTAGCATCACAGGAGGTGATTTGTCTTTAGATGGAAGCCATTACTCCTGATTTCAGTAGAAATTTCTTACCTCCACTATTCCCAGTGCTGCAGGAGCAAGTAAACCTCTGGGAGTCTGGCAGCACACATGTTAACTAGACAGATACTTTGAACCAGAAAAAAATGCAGGCAGTCCACATTCTTGTTGAGCCTCTTGTGACCTAGAGTCATCCTTCAAACATATTTTATCTAATTTACTTTCATTAAGTGAACAAATTGCATTCTTCTTCATGTGTACCAATTCCTTTGAATCAGAGGCTGTGATGACTGGATTTGTGGAGTGATTTTGAATGTATTCTCAGAACACACTCGGGTTTTATCTCATCCTTACAAAACAGTCCTTTCCCATTTCCTGCATGTAACTTTGGAAGATGAGCAAAACATCCCAGCCAGGAGGGAGAGATCGAAAGGGGGGGAGAATGAGAATACAGAGGTAAACCTGCTATGGATCACCTCATGGGTGGTGAGGCTTCCCTTTCAAAGCTGCCCTCCTCTACTCCTTTAAAACCCCTGATCCTCAGCTGAAGGGGGAAAAAATTGACAAGAGGAGCTAAAGAGGACAATTCAAGGAGTTTTAATTAAGAGTGAGGTAATAAAGCTTTTGATGGGAGGAAATTAAGAAAGAAAGAAAGGATAGATGCTGGATAACAGCCTGTGATTTCCTATGGTACCGTTGGTTGAAGGGAGAACTGATAGCCCAAGGCAAGTTGTAAAAATGCCATCTTTTTCAATCAATTAAAGCTAAGTGTGACAAAATAATGGCAAGTACAGATGAACTCTGTGAAAAAGGAGCTGTGATACTGCCCCATTCTTTCCATTTGCTAGACTCAGAGACACAACCTCAATTTTGTCTGTTTACTGCTTACTATAGTACAGAACCTGCCAAATCTGCCCATTCAGTAAATACCTCTAATTCAGCCTGGATTTTAGGAGAGGTTTAAGTTGGCTTTGAAACTGCAGGGATTTTCATCAGTTGGTGACAAAAAAAGAAGATGAAAAGGGGAGAGAGAGGGAGACGGAGAGGGAGACGGAGAGGGAGAGGGAGAGATCTTCAGCAGGACCTTGAGGATATCAAACCTATGCCACTGACACACAGATGGCCAAAAGCCATCATTCCTACCACTTCCCACAATCCATCTCTGTAGGAAATCCTTCTCCTTCCTTAGCCCCTTCCTCTTGAGTCTTTGCACACTGCTGAACCAGAACCTACATCTGCTGTCATTGCTGGTCTTGTTCCTTTATTGTGTTTCTTTTCTGTTGTGTTCAAGGAAAATATAATTGAAACCACTGGGTCAGCAGCAGCTACAGCATGTCCCAGCTGTGTCGCTCCTTCCAGCTGGCTAAGGGTTAAAGAGGGAGAAGTCCCTACATCTTTCCATAGCAATAGGATAAGGAAACAAGAGATGATGCTGGAGTGAATTTGCTTATTTAAGACTTTACGTTGCATGTGTTCTCATTCTTTGGTTTGTCTTCCCTGCATCTTTAGCCAAAGGTCAAAAAGATTTTACTTATGGCTTTTGTTTGCTGTGAGAATAAGCAGGAGGAGAGCCTTCCTTGTAAAGCCCTGAGCACTTTTCAACACCATGTACCAATAATATTCACCAGATTACTTCATCCCACACTGGAAAAAATCTGTGTAATGTCTAGAAAAGCTTCCTCTTGCCTCCAAACACATGCAACAGCAAGAGCAGTTGGCATCCCTCTCAGAATGCCTTCCCTCTTTGACTTGGAGAATTTGCTGTGGCTTTGGCATGCAGGTCCTTTAACACCAGTAGGACTCCAAACTCGTCCCCAGCATGATGAAATGGCCTCTTCTTCATGTGCTCATCATGACAAGAGAGAAAATAAAATAAAATTGCCCATGCCTAGGCTTTGCTAGCTGGATTTTGACATCTGAAAAATAGGGCAGCAGAGCTGTGAAGAACCTGAGCTGGGCACTGGGGAGAAAATCCTCCCTCTCCTCAGTTCTCAGGGCAGGTAATGAGGTGAAAAGGTCACCAAAAGGTTTAGCTCTGCTTGTAAGTGAAAGGGGGATTTGGGGATTTCCACACAGCATTTAGCGAGGGAAAGCTCTGCAAGCCCAGGCAGGTGGAGCCCATTCTCCCTTCTTCCTTCCTGGGAACATCCAGCTGACACAAAGCATCACTCCTAATGAGGACAGATCTCTATTGTTTGGGATGCCTCACTTATTTCAAACCAAAACCACATGCAAGCCCTATGGTACTCAAGTATCAGCATCTATTATAAGGTGGAAGAAATAAATCCCTGGCTGTTTTAGCTCACTTCTGCAGCAACTCTGTAGGATGTTTTTTAATTGCTATTGGTTTGTTCACATTTTTATGTATTTGTGTGTTTTTTTCCCTCCTAGGCTTTGAGTCCTCCTTCCCTTGGAGTAGCAGAAAACTCTCAAGCCACGTGGCAAAACAAAGTGATCCTTGCCACAGAGAACATCTCTGCTTTCAATGAGCTTTGCTGCAGAGTCTGAAAATCTGAGATGAAAAGGTCCATTTGCATTTCTATTTGTATGGTCTGATGTTGCCTACCAAGTACAACTGGATCAAGCTGCACTTCAGCACTGGAAAAACTATCCAGCATCCTGAACACTCGTGTGGTTGGACTTGGCTTTGGGTGTTGATTCACGAGCAATGCTCATTGTGCTGAGTGGAGGAACCATGGTTGCAGCATTACTAAAAGTTCAGAAGAGCAAAGCAGTGCTCACTGCCTGGAGAACATGAGCCCAGCAGTCAATCACACAGAATCACAGAATCGTAGGGGTTGGAAGGGACCTCCAGAGATCATCGAGTCCAACCCCCCTGCCAAAGCAGGTTCCCTATAGCAGGTCGCACAGGTAGGCATCCAGGCAGGTCTTGAACATCTCCAGAGAAGGAGACTCCACCTGGAGTCTCCCTGGGCAGCCTGTTCCAGTGCTCCGTCACCCTCACTGTAAAGAAGTTCTTGCGCATATTTGTGCGGAACTTCCTATGCTGCAGTTTCCAATCTGTCCATCCATCCATCCATCCATCCATCCATCCACCCCCCACCCATACATCTGTCTGTCCTCCCAGCTCCATACTTCTCTTCTGCCACCACACACTTGAAAGTGCAGCACAGTCAGAGCGCAAAATCCCAGGGAAGGAATGTGATTATTCCAAAAACCATTAATTTAAGTAAATGATCATGAGCTCTTTGCTGCTTCCCACCTGATTCATCCCCATCAGAGGCATCCTCTGTGCTCAGCAGCACAACGGGGCTGGGAAATGCAAGTGCTGGGTGGCTTCAATCTCCCTTTTTTTTTTTTCCCCCAGTTAATTAAATGTAGAACTAATCACATCAAGCACTGTTGTTGTGAGCACCACGTGCTCTCTGGCAGCGTGCAGGCAAATGGAATTCAGAGCACAATCTCACATTTGTGCAGAGTTCCTCAAGCAGAAGGCTATGGAGCAGCAGGCTACTGCACCCTAAATCTGAGAAGTGTGAAGTGGATACTGAGACCCATTATTGGCCATTGCAAAATTTCAGGTGAATCTGGGGTATGGGCAATTCTGTAGTAAGAAGTCCGAATGAGTGAAAGCACACTGGGAGTCATTTCCCTGTAAATAAAAGAAAGAAAGGAACCACCAAGCTGTGTCATAGCAAAGCTTCCCTGAAAATCTCAGAGCTCCAGCCCTGGTTCCAGCTAGACTCCAAGCAGCTGCCTGTGACAGTGATGGATAAACACTTCCAGATTGATTGTTTTCCTGTGGTGGGATCAAATTGCATGTATGGGGAGTGACTGCAGGCCTTATCTTTTTGGTTCAAATCAATACAAACGCACAGCCTGAGCTTTTTAAACCTTTTATTAGCAGAAGGGACAAGCAGTGACCTGGGCTTAGCAAAATACTCCAGCACAAATACTTCAGCCTTGGTCCTAAGCACAGCCTTGTGTAGCCAGAAGAAAGCTGCAAGAAGCCAACAGAGTGAGCAGTGTTGTGTACCATGTGTACCATGAAGGTCTCAGCAGTAAGGTGAGCCAACAGCAGGTTGTTGCCTGAGGGCTGTTAAGGTCCAACCAACATCTGGAACACGAGAGTCCAACTCACAATTTATTCAGCAGTTTTGGGGTCAGAGTAGCTCATGAGCAGGATTCCCATCCCCGCCCTAGAAGAGCATATAACTTCTCTGCATATAAACCACTCTGAGTGGAGACTGTGACTTCTTCCTCAGCAAGCACACAGCTTGGTACCTTTCTTATTACCTACTCCATTACTTTGAGCCCTGTCTACTTCGTCTTGTTTGGCTGCACACTTCTGGCTGGAGAAACTGGGACTATCCTATGAGGTTATGCAGATGAGATTACTCAGAAAGACAAGTAGATGATGGAAGTGTCTCAACACAAGCTGTGGTGTTGTGCCCTGCATGCTAGCTGGCAGAAGAATACACACTTCTGAATGTATATCGTCCTTTCACCAATGGACTGCAATTTAAACAAAAAAAAAAATGGACAGCTCTTTAAATGCTGCCTGAAAGAACTGGTGTTCCTCCAGAGGCAGAAAATGCTATCTGTTGCTTAGGAGCAATCTTTATTCTACAGAATGACAATGTGTACTCCAAAGACTTCTTTAAGTGCACCCAACATCTTGTCCACCCCTATATACACCACAGGAAGACGTCTTTGTGCTGCAAATACAGCACCAGTTCCTGGCATAGTAAGCTGTGATTGGAGATCTAGTGTATGTATATACCCCATCCCCAACTTTGCTGCACAACCAGTGGTACAGCATGAACATTTCTCCTTGCTCATGAAGCACTCGTATTTGGGCAGATTTTGACTGTGTCAGTGTGTGTAGGCATTCTTGAAAACTGAAGCTTATGGAACACTACCATCACACCAATTATATACCCAGTTGTGAATCCAGATATATATACGTTGTTCTATTTCAATAAGGCAAGGGAAAGCTGTTTCATTGGCACTGATTCTTGAGTCAGACCAGGTGGAAACATCCACCAGTGCCCATTGTGTCTCTATGGGGGCTAGCAGGTAAATCCTGCTCAAGATTATGCTATTTTCACATGGTTGTGGTATTCATTGTTGTTGTGCTGGTGTGCTTTGTGTCAAAGAATAAAATGTCCTTGAGCTGCTCAGAAGAGATGCTACTTGAGGACAGACATCCCTTCACTTGGTTCCGTGGTGCTTGTTCTCCCCACCAGGCACAAGCATCTACATCCAGGCCCAAGAGCAAGCCTGTAGGGGAAGTTCAGCTAAGAGAATCTGGTTTGCAAAGCTGTCTTATCCGGGACTCCAGCTGGGGTGTCTGCCAAGGTGGAGCAGATGTTGAACCGAGAAACCTTGTAAGACACAGTGCTGGAGCTCTTCTTCTTGCGGTAGAAGTAACTGCTGAGGTGGAAGCGGAACTTGTCATGGAGAGAGGCGTAGATGAAGGGGTTGTAGCAGGCAGAGCTCATGGCAATCAGGTGGCATGAGACCTGGATGACGTTCACATATCTCTTGTCCAGGATGGTGAACTCTTCGTCAATGTCTCTGATAAAGTTGACGACCTGGAGGGGCAGCCAGCAGACAGCAAAGCAAATTACAGAGACGGTGAGCACCCGGAAGGTCTTCTGCTTCATTTTGCTCCACTTGTCTTGGCACGGGTAGGCAGCTCCTGGGATGTTCCTCTTCTGCAGGTGGTGGGAGATGGCACAGAAGGAGACCGATACTGCCAGCAGCGGGAGCATGTAGGACAAGAGGAGCATCAGACATGAGTACAGCAGCCGCTCCCTCTCCTTGTGCTTCCAAAACTCCTCGCAGATGATCATGTCATGGCCAATGGTGTTGAGATCCAAGTATTGCGTGTGCAGCGAGGTGGGAACCGAGGCCAGGATGGAGAGAAGCCAGATGCAGGCCATGATGCAGACACAGGACTTGCAGCTTATCCTTCGGCGGATGGGGTAGGCCACGACGATGTAGCGGTCAATGGCGATGGCAGTGAGGGACAGCACCGAGACAAACACGGTGGTGGCCTGCATCAGGGTGACAAAGTAGCACATGAACATCCCAAAAAGCCAACCCCGCACCTCGAAGGCATAGGAGACAGTCAGAGGGACACAGGCCAGGCACATGACAAAGTCAGCCGCTGCCAAGTTGCCAATGAGGAAATTGGTGGTGCAGTGTAGCTTTTTGGTGAGAGCGATGAGGAGAATGAGGAAGAAGTTCCCCAAACACGCCACAGCCACCAAGGTGGCGTAGAGAGGGATGAAGAGCGGCTTAAGCTCCAGCAAGAGGTCGAGACCTGTGAAGAGAGGGGCTGAGGTGTTCTGCCAGGAGTCATTGGAGAGTGCCATGGGAAGGGCTCAGCAAGGCAGGGGCCCAACAAGGCTTGACCCTGAAGAGGAGAGAGACTCACTGTGGTTGTTCTTCTGGGCAGAAAGACCAGTCCCCAGTGTCTAATTCCACAAGGTTTAGGTCTCTGTAGTTGCATACCGAAGCTTTGGTGTGGAAAAAACAGGGAGCATGGATAGGAAGTGGTTAACTGAACAGTCTTCCTGCTGCTGTGAGCTGTCTGCTAGGGAAAGCAGCTCAGGATGTGAGATTGAAAGTAACCTGAGCTGACATGCAGCAGGGAAATAAAGGCACTCGTATTTCTTCTTGCTCCCAGTGTCTCGCTGTCAGCCTTGTTCTCTGCCTCCAGCCACACAGCTGTACAGCTGGGCAGGAGTGTTCAACACATCCCAGCCCACCCAACTTTTCCCCTACCATTACTTCATCCCCTTGGATATTTACTTCTCCACAATGCTTTCCAGAGGAAAACCTGTGCACTGCCTTCCCATCACTGAGCCAACTCGGCACCCCATTCACTCCCATCCCCATCCTCCCTCTCTCTCTTTCCACACCACTTTGGCTTGTTACCTGCAGCACTTGGTCCTTCTTAGAGTGTGTGGAAGCTGTCCTCAGAACAGCCACAGAGCTCCTGGCAGCAGCAGAACTGGGTGCAGATCTGTTTTGTCTGAAAGTGCAGGGAAAAGCAGAATTACCCACGCTGTCACATTTACCTTTGTTCCTCAGGCTGAGCAGCCTCCTTACCCCTTATTAGTTAACTCCCAGAGTTTACTGAGAGAGATTTTTTCTGCTTTGTTCTATAATTAAAGTAGCTTCAGGTCTGTGCATCCAGCCCTGGAAACCAAAAATCTGGATGGAAACAAGAAGCAAATATGATCACTGAATTTCCATATTTCAGTTTTTCCATCTTTCCATCCAGCATCAATATGTATATATATATTTGTTTCCTTAAGGAAGCAGGACTCCCTCTGCGGAGCACACTCACCACCCGTAGTCTGTGTGGAGCTTGCCTAGCTCCGAGAGAGCTCCAAGATCCTTCTGCTCGCTGATTGTTTCAAAAGGATAGGGATATGCATCTCATTCACCAGCTGTTGCTCACCGCAAGTCTTCTCGTTGCTGCAATCCTTGCTCTCACTCCTTATTGTTGCTGTGATGCCTGAGTGCTGTGATTAAAAGCTGGGGAGGAGCATGGCATTCCCACCCGCAGGGTGGGTATTCCTGCTATGTGGGGGGATGGTCATGTTTGTCCCGCTGTTCTGCAGTAAGGTCTCTTCACTGAGTTGGGGAGAACGGAGAGTGTGGGCACAGGGACCATGTGAAGGTCCTTGGCTGCTCTGCCTGAGGGAAGATGATGAGGGTGGTTGTGGGGCAGGGGGGATGGATGTCCAGCTCTGGGATAATGGACACTCAAACTTGGGGTGAGTGTGGTCCTGCCATGGGGTGAAGGATAGCCAAACTGTAGGTCAGTGAATGGCCAAATATCAGGTGATGGATACCCAACACCCAACCATGGTGTGAGGATGGTCCAGACATAGAGCAAAAGCAGCTATGGTGTGAGTGTAGTCCAGTTTGGGACAGAGGGCAGCCATGCGGTGTTGAATGCGTAGCCATGGGGTGAGGACAGCTGTTGGATGATGGGCACCCAACTACAGAGTAAGGATGGCACAGTCATGAGATGAGAGCAGCCATGGGATGAGGGTAGCACAGCCACAGATCAGTGGATGCCCAACCAGGGGTCAATAAATACCCAACTATGGACCAATGGACATCAAACCATGGGGTGATGGATTCTCAAATGTGGGGTGAGGGTAGTCCAGACATGGGGCAATGGACACCCAACAGTGTAGTGAGTGTTGCCTAGTCATAGGGAAAGAACAACCATAGGGTGAGTATGGCCCAGTTGTGGAATGAGGAAGGCCAATGGATGAGAGTAGCTATTGGGTGATAGCAGCCATGGGGTGACAGATGCCCAACCATTGGGTAAGGACAGCTCATCTGTGGGATGTCGCAATGATGGGCCAAGGACAGCCCACAGCATGAGAGTAGCCAGCCATTGGTCAACGGGCACCCAACCATTGGATGAGCAAGGCCTGCTCAAGGGGACAAGAGTGGCCCAACTATGAGATGATGGTAGCCCAGACAGTAGGGACCACCACTGGGAAGAATATGGTACAGAGATATAAGGCACAGCACGTATCCCACAGGGCTGAACCCCAGTGCACAGCAGCACCTGTGCTCAAAGAGTGAGACTGAAGCCAGGGGAGATGCAAGGAAGAAGGGGCAGAGGCTCCAGCTGTGTTGGAATCATGCAGAGGTGTTGACAAACACTTGGCAGGTGGAGCCAAGTTAGATGCAAAAGGTCACAGCAGAGCTTTATTTAGGAAAGGATGAGCCAAGCCAAACAACTTTTTTTTTTTTTTTTTTTTTTTTTAAATATATATATATGTATATATAATCTTATCATCCCCCCTTCCCTGTGTCATTTTGGGGCTTGGTAGAATGTTTTTTCTCATGCTAAAAATAGTGATTAAAGGGCTTTTTGGAAAAAAGAGATTTATACTTTACCTTCAAAAAGAGGGAGTCATTATGTTTTTGGTCTTTTTTGGCGTAATACAAGATCTGCAGTTGGTGGTGAGAGGGTTCCCATGCCTTGGGGTTGTGGTGTGAAGGAGCTTACAGGCCAATGGAAGAAGTGATGGAGCTGCTCATGAACTGTATATGGAGCAAGGAAAAATTACCTCCCAAAAATGTGAGTACTAAGTGCCGGAGAGCTGCCAGCAAGGAACTTTAGGGATTCACATAGGGGGGAAATAAATATAGAAACCAACAGAAACATACGTATTTTCTTCTGACTGGGAGTTATTTGCAGCCATTTTGTGACTCTCTATCTGCTCCTCAAAGCTAGTGCTGGAGGAGGTTTGGGGGGGGAGGTGGCAATGGGGATGTTGCAATGTAAGGAAATCTTGATGTGAGAGGAGATATGTGTTGTCAGAGCCACATGCATACCTTTTGGCAGCTGGGCTTTGCTAAAGTTTTGCTTCAGAATGCTTGCAAACCCAACTGGCGTGCAAAAATGTAAGCTGAATGAGCAGAGAAACAGACCTCACAGAGCAAAGAGCAAGGCTTAAATCTCTACCATCTCATTTTTCTGCTTTTTTTTTCTCCTGGACTTACACTGGCTACCACTGGAAAACTGTTTATTTTCTTCCCAGATCTGGTGTTTATGGGATACATATTGTTGCAGAAATGAGATATCTGGGAAACCCTTTGTCCATCTCAGTGCGCTTCCCCATTGCGCTGGGGCTAAGGTCAAGATCTTGTAGCGATGCCATTGAGATACAGTGGTGTAATGAAATGCTGCACAGCACCTGCAAAATACTAGTAACTGTTGAATGCTGAAGCATATGCAAGTGCTACTACTGTTTTGGGGCTGCATCTCTTCTTTGTTAAAATCTCTCTTCATTTTTCCCATCCTTCTGGTCCCATCTTGTAGCAGCCAGAGAGGGCTTTCCCACTTGGAAGTGGAAATGGACTTTGGAAATGATTCCCAGATGATTTCATCCTGGTGAACTGATGTATGGACCAAGATTTTAGAAACATGTAGAGAGATTCTAGGGCTGGGAAAGAATTAACCTTAATGGCTGTTGATCAGTGTGTTGTAGCTATGCCATACGATCTTGATTTCAGTTACAAGATTAAATTCATAGCAAAGGAGTTCCAATGAGATCTGAGAGGCTGCCAAGTGGCAAAGAATCCTATCAATGTCCATTGACTGCTGTAACTGTTTTCCTTTCATTATGCAATAGCACTATGACTAACTTGGTGGTAATGAGCTGAAGTTAAAGACAGGGACCATTGAACTGTTGACCTCAAGGGCTGATGTTTGGCTAGAGCTGATTGGTGACCATGAGCTTTGGTTTCATGCAGCATGGGGATCCCATAGTGATGGACCAGGAAGGGGGAGGTTTGGGGAGCTCAAAATGTACTCCAAAATCACCTCATTACACAGATATCTGTCTCTGTGCTACCAATAGATTTCAGCAGCAAATTTGGATCAGAACATCCAAGTGACCTGACTGACTTCTCTTGGGAATGGCAGGAAGAGTTGGCCAAGGGGATTTGTATTTGTGGCTTTGGACTTAAATCCTCTTTGCTGCTGGGGTTAATTTTATAGTCTCCCAAACTGGACTAAAAGCAGAAAATACGTGGGAGTTCAACCAAAACCTCAATGGGTCTCCAATGGTCTTGATCACTCAGTGTAGGTTGGGGGGTTATGGAATGACACACCAATCCCTATGCACTCCACAATTAGGAAGTGCAGGGTATCAGAGCTGCTTGTTTAACATGGTTGGGTATCTGGCTGCCAGATCCAAAGCAGGTCACTGCCCATCAGCTCTGTGTCTGATTTCTTATGAAAGATCTTTTCACCTTCATGTTTTATTTAATTAAGAGAAAATTAAAAAATCATCATCATCCGCTGCTAAAATTTAATTTTTATTTATTTGTTTGTTTGTTTTTTTATTTTTTGTAGGAATGGAAATTCTCAGAGCAGTCCTAGGAGAAGTTCAACAAAATTAGGACTTTTGGTGGGAGAAGGCTGTAAATTTGCCTCTGTCTGATGAATGTGGATCAGTGCTATTGAAACTGGCTAAGAGCTGGCTGTAAAGAGGGGCACTCATCCCACCAAACACTCAGCAGGAAGAAAATAATCTCTGCTTCCATAGCCTGGCCAGGAGCAGCCGTTAATTTTAAAGTGCAGAACATTCTGATAAGGAAAGCAGAAGGCTCTTAAAAGATCATTTTAGATGAGAGATGTGGCATCAACATGATAGAAAATAATGAATTACTGCTGGCTGGGATGGACACATCCACCCCATGCTGGCCAAGGCTTTACCCCACACATCCTTACCATGGAAGAGCCTTCTCTGACCTAATCTTTATCACTTGCATAGAGCTGTAAGATAAATCCCTCATCCCAGGTCTCGTATTTCCCCTTGCCAGGAATTTTTGGCTCTGATTGGATACAAGATGTCAGGCTAGTAGGTTCAGAGGTGAGTTTGGAAGCCGCAGTCCTCATCCTCAATCCTCATCCACCAATCAGCAGTGCTTTTTGGAGCATCAGTTTTGGGGTGTCTGCAATGACATCCCTGTGCCCAACCTACCCTGCATGGCTGATGACAGGGAATGTGAGTTTGCTGTGGTTTCCATCCCCTTTTTGGGATGAATGTTGTCATCTCTTAGAAATATTTGTGGGTGCCAGGAGTTCACCATCTGCTAGCAGAGATTACCCAAACTCACTTCTGGAAATGTCCATCCTGGCCACCTTTCCTACAAAATGGCCATCACAGCGTGGACTGTGGCAGTACTCTTAACTCAAAATCCTAGATGGTCTGCCCATTAAAGAGGAGTGGAATATTCTTATACTTACTTATACTTACTCATTATACTTACTTACTTACTATACTTACTTTTATACTTACTCATGCTTTGGCTTGATGTCATCTCTTTAAGCACATTGTGAACCACCTCTTTTCCCTGCATTAGTGCATAGGAGCTCTTGGGAAATTTTGGAGTTTAGAGAAATGTCCTTTCATGCTGAGAACTGACATTAAAAGGCACAGATAAGAAGGGCTAACATGTGATTAGTAGTTTCTCACACTCTAACAATGACAATCCATGTTTGATAGTATGTACATGCTTGTGCGTAGTAGTCTGAACACACTGCATTCAAACCATATCACTGATGGTTTGCTTTCCTCTATCACAGTGCTGTTATCAGCAGCTCTTCCTCTGTTGTTGTTGTTGCTGTTTAGATGGGCACATCCCCCAGTGTGTGAATTATTGCCACCAATAAGAAGGCAGGTGTTGCTGTGTAGGGAAAAAAAATCCTTAATGGAAATGTTGCTCACACCAGCGAGGCTTTGTTTGGGAGCTCAACAGCTCCCAATTCCTATTATAAACCATAATATTATCATCATTATATATAAATATATTAATTATAATATATATAATTATTATAATATATATATAAATATATAATTATATATAATATAATTATATATAATATAATATATTATATATATTATATATATAATTATATAAAATATATAATATTATTATCAATATTATCATCATATTATAAACCATTTCCTATTATAAACCATAAGAGCTCCAAGTAATGTTCTCACAAGTGAAATCACACATAACATCAACAAATGCACACATCACACCTTTTCCATATATTCTGTTTGAGCTGTATTGTAAAAAAACAGTCTTAGAGTATGAGTTTTTAAGTATAGATAATCCCAAATCTGATTCCCTTTATGTTAGTGTTTCCAAAGTGTGGTTTATCTGGCAGCTCCCAGCATGTGTTCTTCCAAACACTGTGGTGCCTTCAGTGGATGCTGTCTCTTTCCTTGAGCAATCAAGGATTTGGCTACTCAGGTGTCAATATTTATATGTAGTCAAATTTTAAAACTAGATTGTTTGTGTACTTATAGAATCTTTAAACTCCTCATTTGTCTTTTTCAGTCCTAATGTTTACATCCCCATTGAGTCAGACAACCTTCAGAGCAAGCCTGCAGATTGATGGGGCTGGACTCACTGCTTGATTTGGATGTGGTCTCCAATTAAATGCCAATCTATTATCGCTTATGTTTTGGCAGGTCTAAGTCTCTGCTGAAAAGACAATGCTGCACTGCTTCAGGACCTAATTTACTGTCTTGTGCTGACAGTATCAATCAACAGCCACAAACAGAAATCTTGTGTTTCTTCCTGCATGATAATGTAACAAAACCATACTGCATAGTTCTCTGCCAGCTTTCTTAGCCATGCCAAAAATGGTGAGTGGAGTTGATATGACACTGCAGAGCCATTACATGGATCTGGGACTTTAAATGTTTTGGTACAGTTATTATGAATACATTTCTAGTTCAAATAACTTTAATGGCAATAGACAACATAATATAAAGCATCTTCACTCACTGCTAATGGCAAGAAAGAAATGTATTGACTGCAAAATAGCTTGGGTTCAGAAAAAGAAATTGCATCTTTCTCTCAGCATGTTCAATTTCTGGTAAATGCTCAGACGTGCCTTCATTGTAGCTTGACAGCACAGGTGAGAGATGGCATTTACAGTGCTGTATCTGAATACAGCAAAGCAGAATTATTTTTAGAGATAAATGAATAGAGGCATTTGAAAGATGACAAAGGAATCCTTTTCAACAACACCAAAGCTTTGTGAGCCTTGTATCATTGACATTCAGGTGACTCACCATGTTTCTCAAATGTTCACATTTGTTCTAATGGAGAATTACGTGTGACTGCTTTAGAGAATGGTGAGGCTGCAGTGGGTGGTTATGGCACAAAGCTAATGGTGTGGACAAACACCCAGTAACGACACTGAAGAAGCAGCAACAGAATAACAGCCAGCAGTGAATGAAACAGCACATTTATAACTAACAGAGATAGGAAACAGTGAACGTGATAAGCTCCTTTTAAAAGTGTAATTTCATACACAATGAACAATCTAATGCGCTTAAGCTACTAGAACTACCCCTCCAATTTCCCTGGTAAGAGCTTTCTTTATCTGACAGAAGATGTACGCTGCTTCCCTCTATCAACCTTTAATGTCAACGTTGTTTTATCTGTTCTATTCTAGACCATTATGTTTTCTGATGCTTCTAAACAACTGCTACAGTTCAATATGCCTCCTGATGAGTTACAAACAATTCACGTTCATGCCAGAATGATTTGGTTGCTAACACACTAGGACTACATCAAAAAAGGGTTTCAGTTCAGCAAATTCTGTTCCACTCTTGTCCACAAAAAATGCCAGTCGATATCCTTGGAGGTCCAGTGCTGTTTTCTTGTTGGATTTCATTTCATTGTCTTTAAATGGCTGACAATTGGCACTCATTACCCACCCCCACCCTCTTCCTAGCATTACTGTTGCTGCACACAGCTTCATCAGGGTTGGACAAGAGACAGCTCTGTGGCATGGTTGCTGCATATCTCACTGCTCAGCAGCTGGATGCTCTTCTTCAGTCTCCTGTTTCTCTACCTGTGATTCTGGAGGGATGAGGTACTGTACCTCTTCAGCGTTGATGGCCACTTTATCAGGTTGCAGCCATCGCTTTAGATGCTCCAGGGTGCTGAGAGAAAGCAAAGACACAACAAAAGATAAGACAAGTAATAAAGCTTCACAAGGTATGATTTAGACTAACTAGGGAAGGTTAAGGGGGAAATATAGGCAGTACACCTACATCCTAGAATGCTAACAATACTACAGAAGTATATAAATATATACTAATATAATTAATCTCTTACAGCCTATTTCACAATAGCTGGTCTCATGGAAAAGACCAATTCTGTCTTCATTTAAATGTTGACTAAAACTTAATATAACTCTGAAATGTGTGCATATGCTCATCTGCCAAGAAGTGACACAATTCATTCAATCCTTGCATAACAAAATTAACTTGCTCTTGCTCTTCTACTATAGCAGAAATTTCGGTAGTGTCCTTGAGATTGTTTGTGCACTTAAAAGTTAAGGTTTGCTTAATTACACTGCTGGATCAGCTTCAAATAGCTCAGTACCATTTAAGGGTGACCTCTAACTTCATTTAGTCAAAGTCTAGCAATGAAAACATTTTCACGGCTAATGTTCCCAGCCTTTAAAAACAGAGTAGAGAGAACACCTCTGTCTACAACTTGCTTTTAAATATAAATCAAGTTAACTGTCAAAGAAAGAATCTAAGACCTATTATAAACATAAATTATTTTTCATACTTGAACTCCAAAATGAGCTTAAGTAGATTCTTCTTAAGGGAGAAAGATAATCTTTTTTTTTTTCCAAATAGAAGCAATCATGAAAAATGTCAGCTCAGAAAAGAGAAATATAGAGACCATTATAAGTAATTGAGAATGTAGATTGCTTTAGCGTCTAGGAAAGGACTCTCATCTTAATTCATACATCATCTACAAAAGAGTAATGGGTGAGAGAGGAAGCATTGTAAGAGAGGCACTGAACTGAGAATCATGAAATCAAATTTCAGATCTGATATCAACCCTGGAAAGAGCTTCAAATCCCACTTGTTTCTGAAGCAGTGTTTGTATAGGCCCTCACAAAGATGCAGGGAATGGTCTGAAGTTCACTGTTAAAAGCTAACCCTTAAAAAAGGGAATTTGAGACCCATTAAGACACTTCCCCCCTACCCCAAGTGCGACAAAGGAAATTGTCAAGTAGGTTCCAGTTGTTTCCTTACTGGATCACCTAGGTAAGAGGAATGCAAAAATAAAATAAAATAAAATAAAATTCAGTACACAGCTTTGAAAGTTCAGTCCATACATGTCCCATGTGTCCCTCTAGTGTGACCCAACTGGCATTACCAAAGCTGCTCAGAAAGCCTGTGTCAGTCTAGCAAATGTGCAGTGAGACCTTCTGTCACAATGTCCTATTGCAAGTTGCAACAATTCCTTATTGATCTGCTTATTACCTCTCATCAGATTCATGTCCCTCTATGTAAAATTCAGACTCAAACTTCTCCTGGAGGAACCTGTCCCAGCATTCCTTCTTAGCTTGTGACAGAGTACGCAGCATGTCCTTGGAGGTCACCTCTTCAGACAAACCTTTAATTCTCATCAGCTTTCTCTCTGTGAAGAGGCAAATCAGAGCTCTTTATTATATTTTTCTGAGGGAAAGGAGGAAAAAAACCCACAAGTGTCTGCACTTCAATATCAAAAAGGTCAAATTAACATTTCAATACTTTGTCTTCATTAAGTAACTTTTTTCTTGCATTTGAAGTCTGCATGACAGTATTTCCTCCATGTAATTTTAGGTGACTCTTCAGAAGGAAACAGTGTAAGCAATCAGTCCACTTTGCCCACTTCTTAGCTTTAATGACTTTTCCACTTATTACTGAGTTTTGATGAAATTGCACAGAAGGGTACTGATCTCAAATGCACTGTGTTCCCACAATTTCCACGCAAATTGGCATGGAATAGAAATCACACTAACTGTAGTATGAAATCCAAATAATGCCCAAACTGAGGGGAAAAAAACTGCAGTGAGCACAGCAGTATTATCAGTAGGATATCTCAGAACAGAACATGATATTGTGAGTTTCTCAACCACAGGTTACAATGAAAACAGTGTTCTTAGCAGACACAGGGTGATTCAGCCACAATACACAAAGTGTAAGTAAGCAAATTTAATGAGTTTCTCCCGTCACAAAATCTCTTTATAACAGATTCTTTCTTAAATTGGGCCAGCTATTAACTTGTACTCACACTTTTTACAAAAAGGTGTATGATATGTTAGTTGAATTGCAGTAGCTCACAACAGAGCAGCTCTCCTGTGACTCTTTTTGGAGCTCGCCCTGTGTTACAGAATAGAGCTGTCACTGGAAGTATCTGGCTCTAACAATTCTTAAGACCTGAAATATCATTATCTGCCCAAATATATTGACAGGCTGATGGTACCATTCCACAATTGCTAATCCTGGCCATGTAGAAAGCCACAACAACTTTATGCTTCTGCTGGCTTAACCAGAATACACAAAAGAAAGTTTATGCTAGAGCTATGCTTTCATCCTGACTGTATGAAAATAAGTACAGATCTAGTCTGAAGCCTGCTTGTGAAAATTTATCCATTAGCATTTTCTGAGCACATTAGAACTGCAGCAACAATTAATACTAGAAGAGCAAATTCTGTCTTGCTGCTATGGCACCTTTGATCAGATACCAAAACCTGTACTTAGACTGTTTCACAGAAAGCTAAAACAGTAACAAAGTCAACATGGAGGCTCTGGCAGAAATAAAAGCTTAAAATCCACTTCTGCCACACCATCCCCATTTCTCCTGGCCTGTTTCTGCATGCAGAAACGTCATACATAAGCCAAGCACGTGTGGCTGCACTGAGAATCAGATTATAAATTGACCCCAAAAAAAAATAACTCCACAAAAAGGAAAAAGCAGAAAAGAGCCATAACATTGAATATTTCACTATGACTGGATGAGTAGCAACTGAACTGTTAGAGCACAGAGGAACCCCAAAGGCTTCTCCTAACAGGCAGCAGGAGCATCCTTCCTGGAACTGACTGCTGCTGTAGAACATGAAGAGATCAGGAAATATTTTAAAAAGGGTGGCTAATCCATGGCCTTAGAGATAATGACTGCTGCTTTTAGCTGTGCTAGGATGTTGACTTCCCTCATATCACATATTTCTATTAGCTTTTACACAGCTAACGATCAATTTATGGTTTTATAGATTATGCAGGAATTAAGCAATAGCACTGAGATTATCTGTATAATCTCCCATATGTTAGAACAAAGATTCCAGCAAACGTTATTTAGAAAGCATCTTTCCTGATTCTGTCTCCCCCCAAAAATCAGGTCACAGAATTACTTGACTTTTTTTCTTTACACTCAGAAACATCTAATTATTTCTTGGAGCCTCAGGAGACAAATGCTGGCAATACAGCAACACAAAGGCTTATAATGATTTCAAAACACGTTTCCCCTTCCCAAGTCAGCAACAATGGAAATACACTGCACCCTTCCAGTACTTGAGGGGAGCTTATGAGCAGGAGGGGGACCAACTTTTTACACAGAGAAATAGTGATAGGACAAGGAGGAATGGCTTTAGACTAAAAGAGGGGAGGTGTAGCTTAGATGTTAGGAAGGAATTCTTTATTCTGAGGGTGGTGGGGCCCTGATACATGCTGCCCAAAGAGACTCTAAATGTTCAATCCCATTCCCATCCATCACGCCATCCTGAGCAAGTCCCAAGATCTGATGGATGTCAATCCTGCCCACAGCAGGACATTGGAACTGGATGGGCTTTAAGGACACTTCCAAGCTAAGCCATTTTATTCTGACAGGCTCCAGCTGTGTTTCTCAATTCCACTAATGCAATAACTGAGTGTGGAGCTCTGTTGAGTACTTCTAAGCTGCAAAAACCAACCAAAGATGTGAGCAGCGCCCCCTCTGATGCCACAGTTGTCAGCAGGCAACTCAGCCTACCCAAAGCCTTACCCAACACTCACCTAGGGATGCTAAATACATCTCTGAGTCATTCAGGGGCGCCCAGGGCTTTGGGTTTGGTTGGGAAGAGACCCCATTACCCTGGCTTCCTCCGTTTTTGTAGGAATCCAGGAATGAATCAGTGAAGGCCTCACTGGCATCCTTCTGGTCTGGATGTGGCAGACACGAGCAGATTTCAGCCCAGAGGTCCTCGCTGGGCCTGATGACCATGGAGTTGATGCTCTCAATCGTTCTCATCATGAAGGCCTGCAGGGAGGGTACAAGTGGCACACGGTGAGAACGACTCAGTGTCTCTCTGCCTCTCACCAGCCACTGCCTTTTGCCCAAACCACCCCAGTGGAGCGCTGAGGGACATCTCATAGCTCCTCCGGAGCCTCCCCTCACAACGCAACACTTACACCCTTCAGGGCCCGAAGAGCCTCTCACGGTGTTAGGCCGCAGTGTTCCGGCACCCCCTCGACTCCTGTCACCACAGCTCTCCGGGACGTGGTTGTTCGGGTCACAGCAGAACCGCTCCAATCGTCCCCCGGCGCCTCAGCACCGCCAACACGGGAAGTCACAGCGACTTCTGGCAGAGCGCCGATTGGTACCTGAGTTCAGCCAATCACCACGCTCCGACCTCTGATTTTAACCAGTCACCGCGCTCCCCCGGAAGCAAGGGGGGTAGGGAATAGGTTGGAGGCTTGAGTGACGCTACTTCGGCGCCATCTTGGAAAGGGGCGGAAGTTTTCCCGCTAAACAGTCACGGCCTGACAGGGAAGTGGTGGGAATAAGCTGGAGGCTTGAGGGGAGAGTGACGCCGCTGCGGCGCCATCTTGACAAAGAGCGGAAGTTTTCTTGCGCAGCTCAGGCGAGGGAGCTGTTACGTTTGGCAACGGGCAGTGAGGCACGGTGCGGCTGCGCGGTGAGTGCTGGTACGGCGGGGAGCTGCAGGGGTGGGGGCAGGAGTTGAAAGTAAGACAAGGTTGAGCTGTGGGGTGCTCCTGTTCTTAGGCCGGCCGTGGGATGAGTCGCTTGCTGCCCTGTGTGACGTTGGCACTGATGGGACTGCTGTTCTCTAGAAGCATGGCCTGGACCTCCAGCGGGAAGACGCACCCCGAGCTGGTCAACAACCTCTATAGTGAGTGCAGAGCGTGTGCTCGGGGCTGTCTGTGGGTATTCTGGGTGGGTTGGTGGTTGGTCTTTGACTTGCTACTGTGCATTTAAGCCCTGTTTTTGTTTTTGTCTGTATTCCAGAAAAAGGAATCATTAAATCCCAGCGAGTCTTTGACGTATTGCTAGCTACTGACAGAGGGCACTACATCAAATATTTCCCATACATGGATTCCCCTCAATCTATTGGTGAGTAGCTTGCAGTATCACCGTTTGTATGTTGTTTGTGCTGATTGAGCTAGGCACGATGGCAGAGAGGGACTTGAGGTCGCTCTGAGTTCTGTGTGCTGGCAGCACTCTCAACAAAGCAGTGGGTGAGTTTTTAAGAAGAGCAGCTCTCATCAGTACTTCAACAGTGGGATCCAGAGGAAGGAGCAGTATAGACTGTTCAAAATGTGTGTTGTTTGCTCTGAATTTGACTTGTGGAATAGAAACAAGCACAGCCTGTGGTAGTTGCAGAGCATTCTGATGAGTGAGTTGAGGGTAGAAGTTGGAATAGTTGAGAACTGAAGCAGTGGAAAGCTATCTTGGTCTCATTAGTTATTCTACAGATTACGAGCCAATGAAGTGCTTTAATGAGGCAAAAGAAAAATGTTTTCATGTTTTTAGGGAATGGGGAGAGAATTATTTGAACCTTTTCACTGTTGCTTCTTTGTCACATAATTTTTGTCACCTGGCTTCCTTTTAGGATACAAGGCTACAATCAGTGCACCACATATGGTGAGATAAAACTTTCCACTTTTACCAGAAATTAAGGGAATTTTTTGTACCTCCTCCTTTTTTTTTTTTTCCCCTCTAATTTTACCTAATTACTAGAGCAGAAAGGTAAAAAAGGTCCCATGGGCATGGTATCAAGACTGTTTCTTTAAGTACTATATATGTGAAATTTTTTAATGTTGACTTAAAAGTATGTTCTGGTAGAAATTCCATGTAACTAAGGCTAACTGTTAGCACTGTCCAATTGTTGCATGAGATTGCTCTTTTTGTTGCTTCATGTATTATTGCTGAACCTTTTCCTAAATGCTATTCTGTAAAAAAGACGTCAAAGATGAAACACTTCACTCACTCAGCATGTGTCAGACAAAATGCTTGCTGTGCTGTGTTTAAAGCAGAGCACCAAATGCGTGAAACAACATAATGAAAAGTTATAGGAGAAAGAAAGTAGAATGTGATGTTTCACGCTCCTGTGTTTGTACCAACGCAGCATGCCCATGCACTGGAACTGCTGAAGGATCAGCTTGTGGAAGGTGCGAAAGCACTGGATGTTGGATCTGGAAGTGGATATCTCACAGCTTGCTTTGCCAGGATGGTAAGCTCAAATGACTGCATTCCTAGCAAGCAAGGTACCCCAGGACAGGTAGCTTGCTATAGCTGGCATGGAAAGCACAGAGGGAAGGAGTGAACTCTTCCTAAGCTAGCTTGTAGTAGTGACAAATACAATAATTTCCAGAGTGCATATTGTATCTGCCAATGTAACTGGGACTATTCAGCCTTAAAACCATCATGCCACAGTGTTTGCACCTTCTTGTTCTGAAACTGCTCTTAAGATTCTTTTTGGAAATACTTCAGTCCCTACAGTAACTTGTCATATAAAATGTGTTTCTGTACATACAGGATGTACAAAATATGTCTGTATTTCTGTGTACTGGGAGGTCTATATGTGTATGTTTGCTGTTTCCTTTTTAGGTAGGCCCAACAGGGAAAGCTGTGGGCATAGAACATATCAAAGAGCTGGTAAATGAATCCATCAGAAACGTCAAAGAAGATGATCCAACTTTGCTCAGTTCTGGCCGTATAAAACTCGTGGGTGAGCTCTCTGGATGCCTGTCCTCTCCTGTGAACGTGCATTAGCTCTGGCTGTCAGCAGAGCTCTGCTTGTTGAAGCAATTGCTCCAGTTCGTGTTGCTGCTTTCTACCTGTCGGTAGAAACTTCTGGCTAAATAAGCACAGTGTAATAGTGGCTCGAACTCTAGGATATAAGCAAATAGCATTCACTGCTGTGGGCAGTCTATCTTCTAAATGTCTTGTACCTATCTTATTCCAGGAAGAGATATTCTTTAGAGGAAAGTGGTTGTTCACATCCAGGATTTGGTTTATTTGAATAAGTCTGCACATATTTTTTGTTTCCCTTTGTTTTATTTTAATTTGTCAGCTCCTTCAGTGTCTGGAATCTCAAGACTACACAAAACCACTGTGTTACTTAAAGGCCCTTCTGGCTTTGACAATTCTAGAAATCTCTCCTGGTTTTTAAAATGTAAACCCATGCTATGCTTTTAGCAGACTGGTCAGTGCTCTGATTTGGGATTTCAGATTGCAGTCTTGCTACAAAGTTTTCCTACTCTAGATTTCAATGGAAAGAATTTAGATTTTTGTATGATGTCTGAACAAAAGTCATTTCTGCATGCTTATTCCTCCTGCAGTTGGAGATGGCAGGCAGGGGTACCCTGAAGAGGCTCCTTACGATGCCATCCATGTTGGAGCAGCAGCACCAAAAGTTCCACAGGAGGTAAGAGTTAATGATACAGTTACATGCCTTCACTAGGAGCCACGATACAATTATTAATTAGAGAACCACTGGAACCTTCCTTTTCAGTCTGTTTTACCTACAGCTGGCAAGCTTGGCTGGCTTTTGGTGTACTTTTTTTTTTTTTTCTTCCTGATTTCTCTGCTTTCCAGTTGCTGAATGAACTGAAGCCAGGAGGACGGCTGATACTGCCTGTTGGTCCTGAAGGTGCAAACCAAGTTCTGATGCAATACGACAAAACCAGCGATGGGCAGATAATTGAAACACAGCTGATGGGTGTGATCTATGTTCCTCTGACAGATAAGGAAAAGCAGTGGCCTCGGTAAACTTTTCTTCTCCCTTGAGCAACGTTTCTTCTCCCAGCTCTCCTTGTGGGCTTGTTCTCCTTGACTGCTGGCTTTGCTGAGAGATCCTGGATTCCTGGCAGATGCTGTTTGTAAAAGTCAGAAGAAAGAAGCTTGGCTAGGAAAGCACAGCAGGAGAGTAGAATACATTTTCTATTAGATAGGAATTGTAAACAGAAGACTTGAACCCTGTTGAATTCTGTCACTGAACTGAAGGCAAATGCATGGCAGTAACAGTTGTTTTCTTTGCCTCAGGGATGAATTTTGACAGATGGAAGGATATCTCTAAAGTCACCTCAGAAAGTTCATGAGTGGTACTTGTGGCTGTAGATGGTCTGTACGGTTTTGCTTTTTGAGTGGAAGCTGTATCAGTGGATGCACTTAGTGCTGCTTTAATGAGCTTGTTATGGAGGAATGGAGAAAAATGATGTTTCTCCAGCAGATGCTGTTGGAGGCAGTGTCTAGTTCCAGTGATTCGATCCAGATAATTCCAGATATGCTCTCTGTAAAGCTACAAATAACATCTATTGACAGAGAATTCCAAAAGCATACAGGCATACTTAAAACTTCACTAAAAATACTCTTTAATATTGACTGCTCTGCCTCATGTTTGGAGAAAAATAAGACACAATGCAATGACCCACCATTTGTTCAAGTTTAATTTACAAGAGTGCGTCTTCTTCCTGTTCTTCCACAACTTACTTAAAGCCGTGGTAGCAACACTGCAAATTTTGGGTTGAGAAAATCCTGTTTTGTTCTTCTTTGGGGTGGGCGAGGACAGGTGGGAAGGGTCCCCACAGGAGCTGTTGCGGACTGGAGCTCAGCTCCGTGCCGCTCTTGCCGGGTTCCAGTGCGGAGCCTCGCGGCGGCGCCAAACTATGGGGGCGTGGCCTCGCGGCTGCGGCGGCCCGATTGGCTGCGCTGCGCTGCGTCACGCACTGCGCCCGGGGGCGCGCCGGAGCGCTGTGGGGAACGTGTCTGCGCTCCGCGCTGCGGAGCCGGGATAGGAGTGTGCGGTCGCTCTCTTTTCGTGGCGACATGGCCGAGCCGGAACCTGGCCTCAAAGCCGTAGTCGAGAAGGTGGACGAGGAGAAGGAGACGGCGGCTCCAGCCCCAAAGAAACGGCGCTTGGCGGCCGGGGAGCGCTACGTGCCGCCGCCGCGGAAACTGAGGTCGGGGGTGAGCTTCAGCGCGGCTCACTTTGCCGAGACCTCGTATTATTTCGAGGGAGGGCTGCGCAAGGTGCGGCCCTACTACTACGACTTCCGCACTTACTGCAAAGGCCGCTGGGTGGGCCGCAGCCTCCTGCACGTCTTCAGCACCGAGTTCCGTGCTCAGCCCCTCGCCTACTACCGCGCTGCCGCCCGCGCAGGCCGCCTTCGCCTCAACGAGGAGCCCGTGCAGGACCTGGACGTCGTGCTGAAGGTGGGCGGCTCGGCTCCGGTCTGGGAACCGCCGGTGGTGGCATCTCGAGGGTAGCGAGTGTGGTGTGGGCACACCGTTAACCCGGCTTGGGAGATCGCAGCTGGGCCTTCCCGTCTAGCAGCGCCTCGGGCAGTGCGTGCTGGAGTGGCTCA